CAGACGCAGGAACGCGTCGGCGCGATCGTTGAGATCGAAAAGGCCGTTACCTCTCGTTTTCAAGATAAGGAATCTCGAGACAAGGCACAGCAGAACGTTCCAGTGATCAGCGTGACGGGCACCAGGTTCGACCCACTGTTCTCCGAGCACCCAGAGTCTGTCATCTTCAACATTCTCCGATCGGTGCAACTGCAAGCTCTGAATCTGAACCGAGGAACCGTTCAGGCTCCAGGGACCAAGAACCAGCAGTTCCTCGACTTGATCACCGAACAGCAGCAGAACATCGTGAACATCGTGGACAGCCTGCTGCCCCAGGGTGTTCGAACCGAGTTTGCCAGTCAGCTGATCGAGTGTCTTCGAATAAACAACTTCTTGGTGTGCACCAGGGACGTGATCTGGCCGACGATGTCGCAGTACTTCCCCTGGCTGCCCAGTTTCCCCGATTTCGGGTCTCTCGTCAACACCTCGGTAACTACGCCTCCTCCAGCCAAACAGAATCTGACGGAGGTCACCGAGGAGGTTCGACCACTTGCAGAAACCAACGTCAAGACCGATTTGGCCGGAGACACCACCGTGACCATCACCGACACCAGGTTCTACCCAATCTTCAACGAGGTGCCAGAATCGGTGATACAGAACATCCTGAGGAGCGTGCAGGTCTCGGCTCCAAACTTGCCAAGCGTTCCGAGTATCGTCAAGTCCGAGGAGCTAGGCAGTTTCGTCACAGAGCAGCAGGTACGAATCACGCAGATAGCGGAAAGTCTGCTGCCGGTCCCGCTACGTCCAAACTACTTGAGCAAGATGTCGCGATGCCTCAAGGACAAGACCTTCATGGAGTGCACCAGGGACATTACTTGGCCGACGATTGCTGAAATTTACCCGTTCCTCCCGAACTTTCCCAATTTCGGTGAGTATCAGAATACTCCGAGGATCAAATTTCGGGTATTCCTTGAGAAATCATCGAGCTTGGAGGGGCAAACGGCCCAGAACAAGAGTCAGAAAACGGAAGCATTGATGTTGCTGGAAGCCGAGGAAAGAATAGAGAATATTCTGCTGAACTCGTTGGACACGTCGAGCGCGAAACTCGGCCAATCTTATTTGGACGTCAGCAATCTAGCCTTCTATAATCTAACCAAGCGTCAGGATTATATCATCAGGCTGATCGAAGCTGGAATGCCAGAGCCGATTCGAGCGGTCTACGTGGCGAATATGTTGGAGTGCACGAGGAGCTTCAACTTTGTGGCGTGTGTGCAAAACACTGGCTGGCCCACTCTGAAGCAGTACATTTCCTCTCTGCCAGACATTTCCAACATCGTCCAGCCACCTCAGTTGACCAGCGTCCCTCAGCTTTCCTTGGAGCGGCTTCCCTCTCTGCCAAATCTCGATGCTCCTGGTCAGAATGTTCCAGGGATTCCCCAGCTTCCTAGTAGCCTGCCGCAGATGCCTGACGGGAGCTTTCAGCCGACTGGACTTTCCCAGAAACCACCGTTTGCCGAATCTTCTGGACAGGGAGCCTCTGGCGCCCAATTTCTCTCTCAGTCTCAAATCCAAGGAGCCTCGATTACGCCGTCAGTAGGTGGTGAATCTATCGATAGTTTGGCATTCGTTGCACCTGCAGATCATTGTCTCTAACGTCTGCCTCTTTTGCAGGTAACCAAGGAGCAGTACCCGGCTACGCTGGCCAACCGCCAGGAATCCTCATAGACATCTCGAAGGAGAAGGTTCCGTTGCACGACGTCGTCCAGCAAGCAAAGACCGATGACTCGAGATCGTCGTCGAGCGCCAGAAGACGCAGGAGCGTGGAGCTTTCGAACATCTTTTACGAGATCGACGGACCACCTGAGAGTCCTTCGTCCTCCTCAACGTTTCCAAACATCACGGAATCCGAGTATCTTCAGCTTTTAATTAAAGTCAGAGAGACCGTCAGAGCGAGCAGCGATACGCGCTCCGAATCGAAGGATTACTTCGTCGACACTTTGAACGGCACGATCAGAGGCTCGTTGACCGCCGACCAGTACGAGATACTGAAGGTCGTCGAGGACCTGGACCACCAATCGTCGAGCAGAGGACTCGCGCAGCAAGTTATCCAGTGCATCACGGGTGCAAGCTTTATCAGATGTTTGGGTATCTTCATTTGGCCTCTGATCGTCAGCAATCTACCCTCTCTGCCTTCTCTCTCGGGCTTCGGTATCTTCGGACGGTCGTTGGACACGGAGCAGCAGGTGCAGGAGTTGTTTGGCATGTCCACCAGCGACGTAGAGAAGGAACTGTTGACGAGGAAGGAGGCGATAGAAAACTTGATGCTAGATTGGTACGAGAAACTGGTCGACGAGAAGTTCCAGACGAACCTGGCTTTCCTGAAGATCACAGGCTACGGAAACGGGGAACTGGGTATCAGCTTCTCTGGTTTCAGAGAGGGCAGGGGTGCTAAACTCAAAGACAACAAGAATCTTCCCAGCATATTGACGATCATCAGCGACATCATGGAGGAAGTCCTAGATCAGCGTCCAGAAGGCGAAAAGCCGAAGAAGGACAAGGAGAAGAGGGAGAGGAGCATAGACAGCTCGAGGGAGTCTGACATCCAGTTCCTGAAGGACAGCGAGGAGTACGTCGACATCAAGAGATCGATGAACGACGACGAGATCATCACCATGTTCCTCAACAAGATCAAGAACGACTCCGACGCGGACGACGACAACGCCAAGTACTTCGGTTTGGAGAACGCTTACGATGCTTTCGGGGTCCTCTTCGGGCCACGATTGCACAGCAGGCTCGCGAACAAACTGCAAAACCTGCACCATGGGTTCAGATCATTGGACGAAACTGCTCCGAGCAGCGAGAAAGTAGACATCGTGTCTGTAGAAAATGGTGGCCACGAACCCAAGGTTCTATCCTTGAAGAGTCAAGCGATGTACGACTTGGAGAAGGAGTCTTCCAGAGACCAAGAAGAAAAACAGCGACAGAAGCGGGCCAAGAACTTGTTGAAGACGTACTTTGCGAAGCACTCGGGGAATTATTTAACGGAGCCTGTCGTGGCGGACGATGTGAATGAAAACAGAATCATCGAGGAGGAGGAGGAGGAGGAGAAGGAGGTCGAGGGCAGGAGGTCGGGTCTGATCGTGAAGCTGCCGCGACTGGACGACGAAATCCTGCCCCGGAAAATGACGAGCACCATCGCGCACTTGGGCAGGACGATGAAGGACAAGATGATGCAGATGATGCCAGCAGTTGGGGTGGTCTTATCGTTTCTGCTTCAAATGGCCGTGGCGCACGCGCGGGCGGCCGCGTCCATGGCTGGAATGATCAGCAACATGGCCATGGGCTCGGCCGTAATCGGAATGATCCGGGACACATTCTTCGGGGGGAACAGACATCCGCAGATTAAGTACGTCTACGATAACGACAAGGTGGGACCATCCGTCTCCTGGCCCATCAATCACGGGCCCGTATCTGGCTCTCGGTATCGCGGCCTGTAGACCGAATCCTCGTGATCGAGATGTTGCTTTAAAGTAAATTACTTGCGTGCATGAACGACCTCGGTATCGCTCGACTAAATCTGGTGACCGTAGCCATAAGGATAGACACCACGATATCTCGAACGGATACTTAACGATAGAATTACGGGGCTGAGCTGGAAGCAGTGGCGCCGCCAGAGGGCTGCAAGATAACGATTGCTATAAATATTCAATGTTTGAAAGAGTATAAAGGTAGGATAGTGTAAGGATTTGTAGGATTTTAGAAAAATGTTTATAGAAAATTTGTCTCTATTTTGTGTCTTCAATAAGGTTTTGTAGAGGGTAACCGACTCCCCTGCTTGCGAGTGGTTGCGCCACTGCTCGGATTAGACTCGCGCGTGTAGTCTCGCCTGGGAGCCATTTTAACGTAGCACGAGGGTTTTAGGGTAAAACGTGTAGCGGCTATACTTTCTTAGGATCTTAGTTATGCACGGCACTTGGTCTACTAACGGTTAACGGCGAAGCTTTGTCGTCGCAGAGTTCGTCGTTTTGTTTCGTTGATGGCTGATCGACAGTGAACGTTTCCATTGGGGCTAGCTTTAATTATCTTTCGTACACGATCGAGGATGGTCGGTGATATCTCTCCGATCTTCTTGGAAATATCTACGTAGACTTTCTGTTTTAGTAGCACGGATTGCAGAGACTCGGTTTTTTTTTTAGTCGGGAACGAATGATTCGGATCCTGTTCACTTCATTTTTCGTTCCTAGGGGGATTCACGGGTGACGGGTATAACAATTTCTCCATTACGCTATTCTCTAATCGATCTCCATGTACTCGATATGCGCTCAATAATAATAGAAAACTAGGTTGGAATATTGTAAAACCTCTAGTTTGTAAGACGGTGGGCGATTTTCGCCGATACTACGTTTAAGAGAATAAACGTATGGGAATCCATGGCACCCTCGCTTCCTTGGCTCGAGCGATTCATCAACCCTTCCCCTTCCCTGCTATATGTGTAAGAAACGCGATCGTGTTCCGAGATGTTAGGTCTGGCGTTAGCAAGAGGAGAAAGAAGGAATAGAACGAAGAAAGGACTTTAAATCGTTCAGCCTAGCGCAGTAGGGAACTCTGGATGGGGGGCCTCGAGGACCCGCTGGAGCTCGAAAGGTCAGGGTTAAGATAAGAGATTATTCTTAGCGCGAGACGAAGGTCCCCTCCATCTACTCGCATTTTTACGTTGCACCTGGTTGCGATGGCAGTCGAGCAAACGGCACGCGAGATCACGTGATCGAGCATTGAACTCTTCGGAGATCAAAGCCGAAACGAAAACGAGCCCGTTCATTTATTCGGCGAATTCTTCGTTGGGAACAGGTTCGTTTGTCCGAAAACTTTTGCTTTTAGTTCGCTCACACTTTACAAACTTTACGATTCACGATAGCGAGAGTTTGGTACAATTAAATAAAACTGTTTACCAATAATTCGATAGAAAGTTTGTGTTTTGAGTATATCTGGGAATGGAGGGTTCAAAATAACGTCTCTTATTCGAATAAAAGAAAATGTATTGCAACTGGATTGGTCTCTAAATAACTTTGTTTTAAAATGTACAATGTTCAAAGTGAAACTTCAGGTATTATAACTCAATCGCAATCACATCAAGGATAAAAGTGTCGGGTAAGTTTTATGACGGTATTTGTTGAAATAATTGAATGCTCTGTATCGAATGTATTTTGTAAGAGGTTAATTAGAGATGCATCACGATAGCACGAGGGGTAGAACCGAAGGAACTTGTTCCTCTTCGTCCTGTTTTGTGTCGTTTTCTTCCGTCACTTCTTCGGAGTATGGCAGGTCGTTCAAGTAGAACCTAACGGAACATAAATTATAGAAAACATACTTCTATTAAGGGAGTCTTCTAGCTTAGAATTTCAAATAAATCTGTCTACTTTTTAAACATTCTAATTTGACTAAATTTCGATCATTAGGATTATCATATTTTTATAAAAATTGACAGAAAGATTGTTCAAGTTATCTATTCTTAATATATGTATATATCTATGTACCACATGTTCACCAGGAAAAGTTTCTAAATATCAACATTTTGTTCAGTGTGAAGGTCAGGATGAAATACTGTGAATTAATGCACCATTCGTTCGCGTGTGCGCAATCAACGTGTCCTTCGTCCGAACAGACACGTTCCCTTTGATCAAACAACGTGTAGTTAGGGCAGATAACAGGGAATCCTTGGCCAGAATCGTCGCATGCGTGGAAAACTCTACAACCGTAGTCTGCGTCGGCGTACAAGCCGATTGATTTACCTTCGCAGGAAAATCGAAAAGTCAGATTACCGAAGAGATCGAGATCGCTCGACTCTGCTGACTGATCCTCGTATGTCTCCAAGCGAGTTCGGTCCTGTCGAACGCGGAAATTATTTATTAACGTTCGTAACTACTCTGGCCTCCGCGACAGTACAGGTTAATTAAGAGAATTTTTAATATGAAAATTATATAATATATAAAGTTTAAATTTTAATACATGAACATGCATACTTTCAAGTACATCTTGTTCTCCACAGAATTTTGGGACCTACTGGTGGAATAAAAAAAAATCATGGTGCGCTATTTTCCAATGTCTTTCAGTGGAAACTTTACGATATATTCAAAACCTATATGTATATGTATATGTATTAAAACTTGAATGTCCTACGTTATATAGTTTTCGTATTAAAAATTCTCAACAATTGATCCGTCTTCGAGGGGCCTAACTGACAACAATGATACCCAGTGGCAGATCTAGACTTACTAAATTTCAACAAAAATGATTAAAATTAGAAAAAAAAAGTAGTTGACACAAACTACCCCATTTTCCAAGAACAAACAAAATTACCCTTCATTCTCCTAAATAACAATTAAATTAAAAAACATCAAGAAATAAAGAGTTCCGTTGAAAAACCCTCCAAGGCTTCCTCGGCTCCATGGTAGATCCGCCCCTGGTGTTACCTTCTGGATAAACGAGATTCCTTACGACATAACCCAGGGTTGGTAAGCCAACGACTGCGATCAACATCCCTGCGAGACGATACGTCCGATCATTTCCCTTCTGTCGCACTAACCACGATTATTTTCTACTTACAGAGCAGCAAGAGGCACTTGAACAGTGACGAGACTTCCTGGTCCATGATTAAATATTCCAAAGATGATTCACAGTTTTTAGACACCGATTCGATACTCGGCTGATGCAGCAGCCGTCCTTACTGACACTCTCGGATCATCGTGCTACTCCGACAACTTATCGACCTTAATGAGCGCGTAATTTCTCGAAACCCGTGACGGTCTTTCTCGTTACGACCTAAACGATGGTTAACCAGGATATCCGCTCGTTTCGCGTCGTTTCGAAAATACTTGATGCCGTTTAAGGGGTTACCTTGATCAGCGCCAAAACGATTATTCGATTTTAATACATATATTTGATAATTTTTTACAGAACTCTTATGCAGTTAGGTCAAGTGGCTTTTTTATTGTGTCCAAAGTGCTCTTTGAACTTTAAAGGACAATTTTTTGTTAGATATCCATAGTCATGTTTAGCGAAAAAAATTGTCATCTTCCGACTCATGTTGCAGGGCGCATGGTGCGCTGACGTCAGTGGTTCCAATTTTTTCCATAATTGGAAATTAAAATATTTGAGGCTCAACAGTCTCGTTCTTTGTGACACTAACGATACTAACTAAGGCTTTTAGGGATCAACTGTTTTCATGTAGCGAATCATTGGTTTGCTGAGAAATACATCTATCGTATGAGGCGGATAAAGCCCACTTTTACATCCTGTTTCAAGTTTCACACATGACTATTATCTTGATTCAAGTACCATCAACCATAGCTTTGTTATTATACATATATTTACATAGAAATACGAGCCACATTTTTCTAATTGCTACGAATTCTTCAATAATCAGCATCTCTTTAACGTTAATTTTAAAGGCCCAATATGTGATTGATCAGCTAAAGAAATGTTTAATTTCTTAAAATGATCAATTAATTATCGTTCGAACGATAACATCGATGGAAAATCTCGGTAGGAATATTTCAAGGTACCCAACAGATGACTCTGGCAGGCGAAAAATCCAGGTAACCGAGTTCTAAGCGGCTTTCACTCGAGTTGACCAATAGCGGCCAGTCGTTTTCGCGTGGACTTTCTTGTACTGGGAGCGCGGCGTGTCAGGGCCGTGTTTAGGCACATATGATTCAACGAACGTCTTGGAATATTATTTTGTTCAGGACCCTGATTATTCTCCCCTTAGACTTAATCTTATATCACTAGGTCGTAATTTACATTCGAAAAGAAAGGTTCTTTCTTTAAAAATAAAGGATCAGTTTTTGTCGAAACAACTTGCCCCATTTCGAATATTCCTCTACAAAAATATTAGAGGATATCTGATATGAGAATTCTCTTTTGGCCCAAACTGGTTTTATATTTTTAATCTCCATGTTTCGTTTTTTCCAAGTTTTCGATATAAATAACACGCGAACGAAAAATTATTTTTTCGGAGGAGCTGGTGCACGGTAGCAGGTACAGCACTGCTATCCAATGAACCAATCGAGTGGAACTTTAGAGTCCCAGTCCAGTAGAAATGTCGTGGACTCAGAGTCAGAGGGTCGCGTGTCCACGAAAGGACAGCGCGTATCAACTCCCAATGAGAGAGGGTCTCACTTCTCAGGCCGCCTTTCTCTTCAGCTCCGAGCCACGGCTCAGTTTTCACGGCAGCCTCATCCAGGTACCACTGGCAGAATGTCTCGAAGACAGAGACGCGGTGAAACGTTTTCGTGAATTCCTCTTTCAACTTGTTTCTCTCTCCCTGTTTCCTCTCATCTGTCAGAAAGCGCGCACGCGCGCGTGCACAAAAACCACGGACTGGTCCAAACGACGAATATGTGATCCGAGGACAAGGTCGTCCAAAAAGCAACTGTCACGGTGCTTTCGGAATCCATTCGGGGAAAGTGCAATAATAAGGTATTTTTTAATTGGTAAAAAGTATCGAAACTGGGTTAGATTTAACAGTTGTCATAGGTAAGAAATAGATTTTTAACGTATATTTTCCTTTGGATATACGCAATCAAGAGTAGCGTATGTTTATGATTCGTAATTGATTCAGAAACGCGATCAATGATCGAGAATAAGGTTGTTTTTATTTCGGGAAACAAAGAAACGTTTGGAGAGCTTTGTTCCTTTGCGATGGCTAGGTTGTCACAGATGGAAACTAGATTTTTAGCATAATTTAGACTTCGGATACACACAATCAAAATGAATCGGTTGGAAAATCATTTTTCCTTTCGTGTCGATCCTCAGTCTTCTCCGAGATTTAATTCAAGTGAATAATTCACACTTTTTTGATAAAACTCAGCAAAGTGTATAGAGGTATGTCTAATTAAAAAAATTTACACTTTTACTTAAAATACCTACATTTGTTTCTATCACAAGTAAACATTCTCCTTCTCCAGATTCGATCTTCAGTTTCTGATTGTACCGAACGTTTATATAATTCGTTTTACTCTAAAAGAAAAATTTCGAAAGAAACATTTCTCTCGGTTCTGGAATTTATTATGTAATCTTAACGATCGAAGCTCTATATGAAAATGAATTTACAATTGACAATTGCTCGATGGACGGGCAGCAAAAACGCGTGGATGTCGCGTGTTGTGTATCCACGTGCGTTCGTGCTGCGCTGACTGGTGATTTCAATGCGTGGTAGGAGACAATGTGGCTCGTAGGCAATTAAACTGGTAAACACGATTGCTGTTTTCCAGCGATTGCTTCACTCTAATGACAAACTTTCGATTTTATTTCGTTCGTTTCGTACCTTAATCTACCTTAGTATACCGTCGGTAGGACGCGTTGAAATTCCATTAAAAATACACTCCTTCATCGGATAACAATCGTAAATAAATTGCTGTATGTTGTTTATTTCTTGATCTATTACTCAAACAAAATATTGCCCCCATCTCTAATTGTTCGAAAATTGTGTGACGTTAATAATTCCATCTTAGAGCGACAAGTCCATATCCATGGCTGGTATGAAAGCTACAATTATTCGATGATCATTATCGATTTCAAGATCATTTTACCATAGGACTCCGAGTCGGATAACGTCGATAGCGACAGTCCTTGTCACGGTGACCGGAAAAAGTAACATTTTTCCTAACCACTGCAAGGACGGCTGGTGAAACGAAAATATCCTTGGTCTCGGTTCACGCGGAAGAAATAGAAATGCGAGCACGATCCCCGATCTCGCAATCGCCATTCTGCAGATTTCGATTTCTCGAAAACGAAATCGAATAAAAATACGACAAGAGCGAACAATTGACATTATATTCGAGATTCATCGAGCTTTCCCCACTGTTCTGTTGATAATAATAACATTAATTGGCGTCGGAAAGTGGAGCGTGGCTATATTGTATTTTGTTCGTGCCACAATTATTCTTTCCGCGATCGGTGAACGGAATCTGAATTTCTCACGAGACTTGGATTTCTTCTTAATTATTGACCGTTAACATCTTTGCACCTCTTCGAATTAATGACCTCATCTGGCTTCTTTCTGTCGATTCTCTCTTCGCTGGTTCGCTTTCTATGGTTACGCTGGGTCCGCTGACCGTAAAGCAAAATATCAGATGTCAAATCGGCGGTATTACGTCAACGGAACCGGTGCAAGTGGATTTCTTAATACGAGTTTGAAATCAAAGTGATTCGGTTCATTGGTTGTCCCAGTGGCGGCGCTATCGTTGCCTCGAAATAAGTGAAAGGAGCAAGTGTTTTCGTTCTGCGTGCGCGTTAACACGCGTTAAAGATGTTTGGAAAATATAGTATCGGAATCCTAGCCCAACTATAAATCAAATTATTCCATACATTCCACGTACATAGTCGAGATATATTAGAATTGTAATTTTTCGGGCAAATTTCTGTTATTCGAAAGCTTAATTAAATAAAAGAGTATAGATATTTATCAATAAGAAATTTAATAATATAATATTCTCATTTTATTAATACATCGTATCGGTAAGTTTGAAACGACTACCGAAGAGAGTACGAATACGTCTGGGACTTGCTATGTCGTTATTATAATTATCTTGCCAAAGGAGGAGAAGTAACAATGACTGGAACACCTAAGGAACAGTTAGCTCACTCGTTAGGATTTGCTTTCTGTGCACGTTCTGGAACATTTGACAGCTGATTCGTCGAAAAAAGTTCTGAAAACTTCCTAGGAAACAATCGTTTCTACGGTAAGCGACGTATTTATGGTTGGCTGTCATGGAAGGCTCGTGTTATGTTCGGAACGTTGCATAAACGAGCAGCGAAACTAGATCACCGCGCTTTTCTTTTTAGCTTCTCGCTCTCTGAATTACTAGATTACTGGAACCGTAATAAGCAACGCTGATTCGCGTTTCTCAGGTCAGTGGGCCTCAGGAGCGTTCGATCCGGTTCGAATCGCAAGGTTCTTTCTTAAGTTCTTGGTTTAGAGTGACCAAATGTAATAGTTACATTACCGTGTTTTGCATTATTTATTCAATTTTGCATATACATATTATAATTTTAGAAAAATATATGTCAGGAGCTTTAGAGGAAGGGACCCTTTAAAGTAAATATACATATTTCATTACCTTTAACGTGAAAAATTCTTCAGATTATTGTTGGAAAATGAATAAGTAGCAAGCAACCAACTAATGGATTAATTCCTCTGTAGAAAGTTATCGATAAAAGAATTATATCGCCAAAGGAATGTAGGATAATCGAGGAAAGGTTATCATTCAAGTGGAATTCATTTTCTAATTACGACTGGCGGTTTCGACTAGGGAAAACGATTTCATTTATCCGGATATGTAGTTTCTCTAAGTAAGTATTTTATGTATTTTTAAAAGGCTAGCCATACTCTTCGAATAGCTATGAATTCATTACTCGTCGAAACTCTGAAAAATCTTTCGAGACACGTGTAAACATCTCCAAAGATGACAATGCAACAAAATTTCACCACAACAGGAAATGTCGGTCCGAGAAGTGTCAGATTTAGCATAGGGATGAGCCAATGGGTTGGCAGCTAGTTTGCGACACCCGACGAGGCGCGATCGTGTCACATGAAATTACAGCCCTCTGTTCGGGATATTTGTAAAAACTTCATTAAGGTAATTGTTCCCAACGAGCAGCGGCTATGATTTATCTTTCATCGCGGTGACCTCGTGGGCGGAATTGTCAGGACGGATTGCTGATTAAACAGATACACGGTGGATAACAGTTGTTGCACGCGATTC